CATAGGCCTTGAACAACATCTCTCCCAAACACAAAATCAATTCTATTCATCCAACTTTCATCTTATTATAACATCAGCTCAAAATTAATAATAAAAAGATAATAAAAGAATATTAAAGAATCTACTTTATAAGTTGTAATGAGGGTTAGTTGAATTAGTTCATTTTCAGTAGTAAAATGGACTAATGACTTCTAAACAATGACTTCTAAAGAATAAATTCTCAGTATAAGTATAGTTATATTAAATGTTGGTTCTTGAGTATTCTCTCCCCTTAGTTCTCAGTTCAACTTATTTCCTAACTTTTACACCTTTCTCAGTTTCTATTCCAGATCCTTTCTTTTCCTTATACAACAACTGGATATGGGATATTACATGGATGGTACTTGTTCTGATGCTGTTTTATTTTGCACTTATCTATTTTTTATACCTCACAGTGAAAGGTAAGTAGTCAACGTTAGTCATGACTCTGATCTATTCTTTTTCTAGCACATATTTATATTCCATTCCCTGTAAGGTCCTACTTTCTGTCTGGTTATTAGCCCAAGGTTCATCCTTTTTTTTGGAGAAAAAGCAAAATAAGTCCCAAACTATGTTTTGTCAAGTATACATTTATATACTAAGGTTAAGCTGTAGCCTCTCAGATGCCCAGAGTGACTCTCCTTCTGCTCTGACCTTCAGACTTCTGCTCTGTCCTTCAGCTAGTGACACACAGAATGAGAGCTGTGCTTCTCAGATCTATCATTGTCCTCCTGCAACATGTGGGTCCATTTTTATGTTGCTCTCTAGCATCCAAAGAGAGTACAATGCAGGTCTCTCCAAGAAAGTTGTGACATTGTTGTCTACAGAGATTGATTTATCCAGCTCCTATGTTATTCTGTTCACTGAAAATTACTAGGACTTGATTAAACTTTGACATTATTTAACTCTGTTCACCCTGCCTCCTTGAATGAATTTTACCACTTTTCCACTTTTGTTCAGACCCAAGTAATAGGTAGTAAGCTAAAAGTCTTCTGACTTTTTTTGGCCAAAATTCTTATATGAATGAAGGCCAACAAGCCCTCAGATATATAATTTTCCCCTAAAAACTTCCTGTAAATGAATTTAAATTCACAAAACCATGAGCAATTCTCATTGCTTTCTTGATATAATTTTCTTAAATAAACATAGTATAAACGGACAGTGAACATCTTATTTGTATCATTAGCTGTTAGGAGAAATAATACAATATATGGAGTTCTAATGGGTAAATGTGCTTTTAGCCCACAATTNCTTGTTCTGATGCTGTTTTATTTTGCACTTATCTATTTTTTATACCTCACAGTGAAAGGTAAGTAGTCAACGTTAGTCATGACTCTGATCTATTCTTTTTCTAGCACATATTTATATTCCATTCCCTGTAAGGTCCTACTTTCTGTCTGGTTATTAGCCCAAGGTTCATCCTTTTTTTTGGAGAAAAAGCAAAATAAGTCCCAAACTATGTTTTGTCAAGTATACATTTATATACTAAGGTTAAGCTGTAGCCTCTCAGATGCCCAGAGTGACTCTCCTTCTGCTCTGACCTTCAGACTTCTGCTCTGTCCTTCAGCTAGTGACACACAGAATGAGAGCTGTGCTTCTCAGATCTATCATTGTCCTCCTGCAACATGTGGGTCCATTTTTATGTTGCTCTCTAGCATCCAAAGAGAGTACAATGCAGGTCTCTCCAAGAAAGTTGTGACATTGTTGTCTACAGAGATTGATTTATCCAGCTCCTATGTTATTCTGTTCACTGAAAATTACTAGGACTTGATTAAACTTTGACATTATTTAACTCTGTTCACCCTGCCTCCTTGAATGAATTTTACCACTTTTCCACTTTTGTTCAGACCCAAGTAATAGGTAGTAAGCTAAAAGTCTTCTGACTTTTTTTGGCCAAAATTCTTATATGAATGAAGGCCAACAAGCCCTCAGATATATAATTTTCCCCTAAAAACTTCCTGTAAATGAATTTAAATTCACAAAACCATGAGCAATTCTCATTGCTTTCTTGATATAATTTTCTTAAATAAACATAGTATAAACGGACAGTGAACATCTTATTTGTATCATTAGCTGTTAGGAGAAATAATACAATATATGGAGTTCTAATGGGTAAATGTGCTTTTAGCCCACAATTTTACCTATTCTAAATAATGTCTTATAAGAGCAAACAACAGTCAAGGACTTAAAGAATTCACCATTACCATAGATTAGGGTGGGTAACCTTGAGCCCATGGGCCATACCATTTGGTATGGCCCTGCCAAGGCAACTGCAGACAGGACTCAAAATTCAATACATCTAGGAGCTTTTTTCATGGCTAATTTTTAGGTTGATAATTTTGTATAGCCCATGAAAGATTTTATAAATATGCCAATGGCCCTTGNGGAGAAAAAGCAAAATAAGTCCCAAACTATGTTTTGTCAAGTATACATTTATATACTAAGGTTAAGCTGTAGCCTCTCAGATGCCCAGAGTGACTCTCCTTCTGCTCTGACCTTCAGACTTCTGCTCTGTCCTTCAGCTAGTGACACACAGAATGAGAGCTGTGCTTCTCAGATCTATCATTGTCCTCCTGCAACATGTGGGTCCATTTTTATGTTGCTCTCTAGCATCCAAAGAGAGTACAATGCAGGTCTCTCCAAGAAAGTTGTGACATTGTTGTCTACAGAGATTGATTTATCCAGCTCCTATGTTATTCTGTTCACTGAAAATTACTAGGACTTGATTAAACTTTGACATTATTTAACTCTGTTCACCCTGCCTCCTTGAATGAATTTTACCACTTTTCCACTTTTGTTCAGACCCAAGTAATAGGTAGTAAGCTAAAAGTCTTCTGACTTTTTTTGGCCAAAATTCTTATATGAATGAAGGCCAACAAGCCCTCAGATATATAATTTTCCCCTAAAAACTTCCTGTAAATGAATTTAAATTCACAAAACCATGAGCAATTCTCATTGCTTTCTTGATATAATTTTCTTAAATAAACATAGTATAAACGGACAGTGAACATCTTATTTGTATCATTAGCTGTTAGGAGAAATAATACAATATATGGAGTTCTAATGGGTAAATGTGCTTTTAGCCCACAATTTTACCTATTCTAAATAATGTCTTATAAGAGCAAACAACAGTCAAGGACTTAAAGAATTCACCATTACCATAGATTAGGGTGGGTAACCTTGAGCCCATGGGCCATACCATTTGGTATGGCCCTGCCAAGGCAACTGCAGACAGGACTCAAAATTCAATACATCTAGGAGCTTTTTTCATGGCTAATTTTTAGGTTGATAATTTTGTATAGCCCATGAAAGATTTTATAAATATGCCAATGGCCCTTGGCAGAAAAAATGTTCCCCAGCCTTGCCATAGATTATATGAAGATTATTTAAGAAAAAATTTCAAATGGAAATGAGATTATATTAAAAATTAGATAAAAAACTAATATATAAGAAATAAGTAAAACAGTTTAATCAATAAAATATTAATTTAAAAATAAATACCTAGTGTTATAATAGTTGCCAATATAATGATTATTTAAATAAAGTAATGTAACAATATATTAATAACATGGTCACTAAAAACCAATGACTGCTAATATAACAGAAAATGAGACAACCTAGATTATTCTGGAAGTAATAACAAAATATCTATGACATGTTCCTGGCAAAAAGAAAAAAAGAAAAATCTTGAATCTGATTAAACCTCTATTTTAACCTCTAATTTGTAGGACATATAAAAACAAGAAGAATGTGTGAAAACAATCGACAGAGATGCAATCAGCAAGATGCAGACATGGAAAACACTACACAAGAAATGATCCGAGTTCTTCAATAACTTAGAAGAAATGAATCAATTTCTGGAAATATATGATATACCAAGTCTGAATTATGCAAGATGGTGACAACTGAGGAAGCTAGGGTAGGGTTTAAAGGAGCATTTGGCTATCTGTACTTTCCTAATTAATGGTAGAACAAAGATAAGAAAGGAAAACATCAGTGAAATTAAAGAAATTATTCAATCAGAAGAATACAGAGAAAAAAGATTAAATAAAAATGAATATAGTATCAAGAATGGCCTAACATGGATGCAATTGGGATCCTGAAAGTTGAAGAAACAGAATGGGATAGAATTATTTTCAATTCAGAAAATTATTTACAGTTACAGATTTCAGAATCTCATAAACACCAAGCAGTATAAATACGAAGGAAATCACATCTAGGAACATCATAATCAAACTGCTTAAATACAGTTGACAGCAGTCAAAGGGCAAAAAACACATTTCAAATAAACAATTCAAATGATTACTGATTTGTCCTCAGAAACAGAGGATGCCAGGAGACAGAGAAGCAAAATGTTTTAAGTGCTAAAGAAAGAAAACCTATCTCAGAGGGAAGGCTGCGATGGGTGGCTGGGTGGGGAGAGATTAACCAAATAACTTATATGCACATATGCATAATCCATGGACACAGACAATAGTGTGGGGAAGGCCTGGGGTTAGGGGTCGATACAGGGTGGAGGGGTCAATGAGGAAAAAAGGGACATCTGTAATACTTTCAACAATAAAGATAAATTTTAAAAAAGAAATGTCAACCAATGATTTTATTTTACTTTTCAGATTATCTTCGTTTTTGTTTAATTATTACCCAGTGAAATTTACTTTTTTCTCTTTTGATATACAGTTATATTAAATTTAACACAAGTAGAGATTGTGCAATTGCAACCACAATCAGAATATCGAGGCATTCCATCAATCCCAAAACTCCCTTATATTTTCCTCCTCCCTAACTTCTTGCAACATTGTGATGTTTTGTTTTTGAGAAAGTCACATGATGGACTCATGAAATATGTGACCTTTTGAGAAAAACTTCTTTCATTCAATACAGTTTTGAGATTCACCCAATTTGTTGTGTGTAGCAATAGTGCATTCCCTTTTAATGCTGGGCAGTATTCCATTGTATGAATGTGCCACATTTGTGTATGCATTCAGCCATTGAAGGACATAGGATTGAAAGGGTATCTCATTTCTACAATTTTGACTGATTGATTCCAGCTTCATTGAGGTACACTTGACAGGTAAAAATGGTATATATTTAAGATATATAAGGTGATATTTAAATATATGTATGCATTGTGAAATGATTACCACAATCAAGCTACCTGACATATCCATCACCTCACATAGTTACATTTTTTGTGTATGTGGTGAGAGCACTTAAGATCAACTCCGAAATTTCAAATATACTGGAACCTCGGTTCTTGAACTTAGTTCATTCCAGAAGGCTATTCAAGAAGCGATTTATTCTAAAACAGAATCATTTTGCCCATTAGAAATAATGTAAATGGAATTAATTTGTTCCAGACCCCCAAATGAGTCCCTGTTTTAACCTTTCTTATATACAGTAGATGTCCAATGAACTGTTTACTCTATAAACAAACACTTCTTAAATTTATCAAACCACCACCCACTAGCCTTAAATGAATCACTTTCAGCACTCGGTCCAGGGGTGTCTTTCAGGAGGTCAGCATGCAGCATCTCTGCTTTTTCACACATCATTGCCTCCAAAACGCTGTCACCTGCTAACTGCTTTTCCTTTATCCAAATCAACAACAGTTTTTCTACCTCTTCAATTGCCTGTGATCATTGCTTCTTTCACACCATTAGCAGCATTAGCACTCTGAATGGCCTCTTTATATTTTAAAATTGTGCTAATTGTCCATTTTGCCAGCAACCAAAGCAAAAAACCACAAAAATATTCACAGCACAATTTCCTGGGATGTTAACAACAGGAGGTTTAGCGGTAAACTGACTCATACTAGCACATTCTCTCCTTTGTTTGTGGCCTGAGAGACAGGTTGGCTTTGTTTGTTTGCTTGTATGTTATGCTGATGTATCAGCATGAAAGGGTTGTCAAGTCAAGGACCAAAATTTGTTCAACAACCGAGACATTTTTTTCCATGAACAACTTGGTCGAAAATCGAATTATTCAAGATGGGAAACGTTAGAGAACTGAGATTTGGCTGTATACAACACAGTAGTATTAACTATACTCACTATGATGTACATTAGACCTCCAGAATTGATTCATCCTGCAAAACTGAACCTTTGTACTCTGTGACCAGCATCTCTATATTTCCCCCACACTGCCAGCCCCTGGCAGTGCCCATTCTACCCTTTATTTTATGGGTTTGACTTTTTTGGATTTCACACACAAGTGAGATCATACAGTATTTGTCTTTCTGTCCAGCTTAGTTCACTTGGAACAATGTCCTCCAGGTTTGTCCATGTCACAAATTGCCGGATTTTGCTTATAAGATTGTTTGTGTAAGTCGCCACAACTTGGAAAAGTGTTTGACAATATCTATTAAAAGTGAACATATGTGTACCATAAGAACCAGTAACCCATGTCTAGGTATCTAACAGCTATTAGTGCTTTTGCCCAAAAGACATGTATAGAAACACTCATGTTGACTTTATTTGTGTGTATAAATAAATGTATGTCATGTGCCTGATATCTCAACACTTTCATTCCACAAGGAAAGAGGACTGGGTGTGGCCAGCATCTTACCACTTCTACTCTAAAGGGACGGGAACTGGGTATAACCTCTGCCTTTCCCACAAAATAGGTGACTGCTCTCTTAAATCCCTGATCACAGACAGGCTTTCTCCAGTCTACTGTCCTGCCCCCAGTCACTCTCGTGAACGCCCAGTGTGAAGATCCAGCAGGCGGGTGCAGATTTCTTTTGCGTCTGCACCTCCTAGGGATCTATGCTGTCATGGCAGCCCACACTCGGCCTTTATCTGCTCCTTAGAACTTTGGCTCGAGTCTTCATACCATTTTCAGTGGTGATGGTGTCTTCTCTTCTTCCTACGCTTTACCCCGGTAAGTCAGTGCTTGTGTCTCTTCTGTTCTTGGGATTTTCAGGCCACCTTTTTCCCCCTGCAAACTCAGCAGGGTTCAAGAAATGTTATGATTTTGTTGACTATCTAGCTTTGCTTTGTTGTTAGGCTTGGAACAACACTCCAGCTTTACGGATCCCAAGCAGAAGCCAGAAATCTTTAACACTGTAGTTAGATGAGAGGACATTGTAAATTTTGATGAGGTTTTAGTCGTCATTCTTTCCCCTTTATGGTTGTGCCTATGTGAACCACTCTCAGAAATAACTGAAGCTCACATAAACCCTCCTACATTGTTTATGGCAGAGTTTTCCCATTAGCCACCCTGAAACTCTGACTATAGACAGGGAGTGAAAGCAAGTGTTCTGATTACCTATGCAGCCGATGAGGTAACGACACATGAAGCCACTTCTCCTTTGCAAGATGAAGCTTGTTCTTCTGCAACAGTGCGGTCCCACCCTCAGGTTAAGTGCTGAGCTCCAGGAGACACCCTCAAAGTCTTTATTTCCCTCAACTCCCTCACTCTACAAATTCTATCCATCAATTCTACATCCGAAATAAATCTCAGATCTTTCCAATTATGCATCATCTGTTCTGCCTGTACTTTAAATGCTCATTGTACTTGTCCCTGATTATTGATCTATGTATGTGTATCTGTATGGTTTTCTCTCACATATATCCATATGTGCTCTATAGTCCATATGTTTGTGTATGTATAAACAGTCATATGTGTAAGTATGCACACATATATGCATATATCTTCATTCACACATATATAATGTACATAGATACACCATTAGGATATCTATGCACGTGCATAAAATACATATGGACACATATTTATATTTATGCAAACATACATCCAAAAATATGTATAATTCTTTATAAATATATATATACACCTGTGCACACATGTAATGCTTTGTGTAGTTGTATATTTTAATACTCATGTACACATATTATCTGTATTACATGAGAATTGGGTATTGCATGTGTGCATATATAAGGTATAAGTATGTATGTATATACAAGCACATACTTAAGTATATGTTACACATATTTCTCAAAATTCAAACCACATTTGTACCTTTGTTTCGGTGTACAGCTCACCCACCTCATTCTCTGGTCATACCTCTCACTGCGGCCACAGTAAACTACTTGAAGTTTTCTGAATTGACATTTTCTCTCAAATGCCTCTCAAGTTGTTGCTCCTTGAGCCTGGAAAACCTGTTTGGCCCCTGCCCCTGACCCTGACCCTGGCCCTGACCCTCTTCTTAACTGGGCTGACAGTTCACGCTATGTCAAGTCTCCTCTCAGCCATTATCACCTTCCTCGGACGCCTGATCTGGATTTAGTGTCTTTTATTTGTGTCTCCACAGTTCCTTCCTTTCCTTTCTAAGTACAGTACAGCATTCAGAGTAAATTCTTTATCACAACGCTTTTATTCATCACGAATTACGTAGAACACAAAAATCAGACTGTGTGTCGCCTCCTTTCAGAGCGAGGCAAGTCTTGTTGGTACTTGTGCGTCTGGTACAGTGATGCCAGGAGCAGTCGCTGCAGGTAAACAGACTCCCACCCGCAGCCTCCCTGGACTTTCCCTTGGAAAGGAGCGCAAGGGCTGGGCCGGCAGAATCGGGGCCAGAGGGAGAGGGCAGCAGTCAGAAGGAGCTTTGCTGGCAGTCGGCCTGGCCCTGGCACTGTCATTCTCTAGGCACAGCAGAGAGCTGCCTCGGGATCACCGGTAAGTGTAAGATTTAGGATCGAGTTCTCTTCATGGATGCTCATCACTTCTTTCATCCCTTCCCTTTCCTTGTGTCTCCTGTCCTTGCATTTCAAGGGCCTTGATAGATATATCAACAGACTAGGGAGATGGTGCGAACAGAGGCCTGTTACCTCTAGGGAAAATCTTTTCTCATGTTTCTTTGTGGGTCATTTGAAACTCACTCTGCAGTATTTTGTCACAGCAAATGCTGGGCTTGATTTCTGGAGTCTGCTTTGATCGGGAGTAAAGAAGATATTGTTCTTAGGCATGTTACTCCCCTGCCACCTAGTAGGGTAACCAGTCACTATTGATGTTTCTCCCTCTCTCTCCCCCTTCTTCTCTCTAAAAATCAATAAAAAATTTATTTTAAAGAGTAGAGTTGCCAGATCTACCAAATAAACATTAGAGGATGCCAAATATTGCATGGGAAATAAGTATACTCAAAAATTGTTATCTGTGTGGACAAAAAAGGGGAAGTTCTATGGAAAGTCATCTCACACAAGGTGATCTGATCATAAACTCCTAACTAGGCAGGTCATGGTGGGTAGTCAGGCCCCAGGCATATAACTTTTTAATAAAAGGTTTTTTT